GTTTTTCTTTTCAGTATTTCATTAGTAATTTGGTTTTTCACCATTTCCAGTTCACTAGGCCTAGAGAAGTCAATGCATCTTGATTAGGCCCTCTTGCCTAAGCAAAAAGGAAAACAGTTGCTTTTATTATAACATCTTCAAGCACAGAAATAAGGTCTGACTCAGTAGGACTGCTTAATGCTGATGTTACCCAGGGGCAAAGAGGAAAGGTCATATGTATGCAAACCCTTTATAAATTTGTACTATTGACAGTAACCATGCATTTTTTCATATTAAAAAGTCTTATAACAATGGCACATAGAAAAATTCCAGGAACTATATCTTAACTTGATATAAATGTTCAATGTTTATTATTTTTAGACTTCTAAACTCTAAGATCATAAACAACCCATGGGCATTGGTCATTTCTCTTTCATGCTACACAGTGCTCAGCCCAGGATCATATTAAAACTATGTTTAATAAATGCTTTTCATTACCATGGGGTATAAGGGGCTAGCAATTAAATCCATGCTCAACCCTAAACAGATCACTCATTTCGTTGTAAGAAGTAAACCTGCTTTTATCTCTACAGTAATGTCCTGAGTTGAAGAAGCAATCGCATTCCCTAACCTAACACAGAGTGTTAGCACCATCCTTACTTCACGCATGTGAATCAGCCACCCGATGACATGCACTAGCTCTCTATACAAGTCGAAGGCTGGAGCACTTGGGTCCTTCTGTCTTAACTTCCTTGATCTTGCTAGAACCCGCACTGCAAAGAAACCTTCCAGTTTTTTCTCCTCCAAGGCAAATATGAAGTCACATGGTAAAGTGAAAATGAATACATAAAAGTGATTCACTTTTCTAGCTATCATTTATTGGATGTGTATTATGGCCCAGGCGTTATAACAAGATACTTCATACACGTTATTTCTAATCGTTACAACATCCCTGCAAAATATTCCCCATTTGTCACAGCTAAGGACCTTGAACCTTGGAGAGATAAGTATCTTTCAGATCATATAGCCAAAAAGTAGCAGAGACAGGACTCATCTGCCAGATTCTAAAACTCATATTCTTTCTACCACATCCCAAACCACCTTCCTTGTCTCTCCACCATCTTTTAAGACAATATTATTTTAACACTAGTATGTAAACTTACTGAAAGCAAAACTATCAAATATCATATTTTATGTTAAGTCACCTGCTGAAGTTAAAGAAGCCCATACATGACACTTCAACTCAACTTACAGTCACCTAGAATTATTCTAGTTAAAAACAAAATAAAACAAAAAAACTCAGTCCCCTTAAGTCATTGCTTTTAGGTGATAATCTTTAACATAGAGAAAATCAAAAGGATTACTTACTTGTCATTCTTTTTCTTCTTTCAGAATCTGAGTCATTCATGTTACTAAAAAATGAATAAAACAAAGAACAAAATTAACCACTATCTCCCCAAACTATATCTTTGGTTCAAATAGGAGGGAATTATTTCATAAGACAAATAATGAGAAAAAAATTCCAAAATCACACTGAATCAGTGTTTGAAGATAGAAAATACTGAGTTTGATTAAACAATGTATTAATATAAAAAACTACCTTGTTTAGTTGTTTTAGGCAGTAACAAACCTTCTCTTATTTTAATCAATTAAAAGATCTTTTTGTCTGAAAAGAAATCTAAACTTAAACATAGTTTTCTGAAAATAATTTAACTTTGTCTTGTTTACTCAAGGTCCCCTTTATAAATAGTCTCCAGCAGCCATTAAACTGTGCATCCTGTGGTTTTCCTACCTCTTCCTTCTCCCTTCAGTTGCACTGACAACTTACATTGTCTTTAAATAAAAAAAAAAAACAACAACAAAAAACAAGATAGGGTCTCTCTCTATCACCCAAGCTGGAGTGCACAGATCACTGCAGCCTCCAACTCCTGGACTCAAGTGATCCTCCCACCTCAGCCTCCCAAGTAGCTGGGGCAACAAACTTGGCAACTTTCAACTTCATTTCTCTTTCATATTAGTTGCTTTTAATTCACAGTGGAGTTATAAGACAACATGACTTCATACAATTGCATAAGATGTGACAATAGACACTGTTGGGAAGCCTAAGGTGCTCCCCTCCAGAGTGTCAGGGCTTTGGGCTCTAGAAACCGCCAAGCTGTGTTATCAGAGTTGAAGTGAACAGATGAGGGCCCTCTGCATGGGGAGGTGTTACTGTAGACATCTCAGCCACAGCAGAGTGCCCAGCAGTGAAAAGGAAATGCTACACAGTGGAAAGGAGGAGAGGAACCTGATAGGTGGACAATGATAAAATAATACATCACGTGCTTTTTTGGGAGGTGAGTAGATGACTTTACCTCTTCAGTCTCAAAAGGTACTGGGACACCCAGGCAGGAAAGAGTTTGTGCTCTGAAACTGTCTTCAGTGCCCAGAATTGCTAAATGAAAATACAGTAACATATTGCTTATTATGTTAATATTTGTTATTTATTTTAACTTCATGTTCCTTTAAATTATTTATGTTCTTTAATAGTAACTTCTCTAGATTTTTATAAAGAATGCTATTTCAAGTAAAAGTAGTACAAAAAGGAATATTTTCCTTTTCCTTATATATCATTCAACTCTAAAATTAGAATTCATAGAAATCCACGTAATGGCATGATTTAACTGAAATAATATACACAAAATTCTTATAAACAGATTACATGATGAATACTTATATTATCAAAAGGCTTCTATTATATAAGGAACTCCCTTAATGCATAATTTACTTTTAAAAACTTAATTTGCAATTGCATTTTATTTAGTTACCTATTAATTCATTTAATAGACATTTATGAACTGTCTACTATGAGCTTGGAACTATGTTCAAGAAAGGATATAAAAATTACTAATTAACAGTCCCTGACTTTAAGAAGGAAAGTATATAAACAAAAAAATTCAATGCCATTTTAGAAGCGTTATGAAAATATATATAAAAGGCTAAGGAAAAACAAAGGAATAAGCAATTAGCTCTACCTCGGTAGTTAGGGAGGTGAAAAGATTTCATATTCAAAAGACACAGAAATTAACTATTAAAATGATTAGAAATGTAATGATCTCTTCTCACTTAAATTTTCCCAACTTTTGGTAATTTAAATATTTATACCTGTCTTGAACTTCAACAAGACAATTTATTAGATCGGTACAAAAGTAACTGCAGTTTTGGACCGTGAATTTTAAATCATTATAACTAGGCTCAAACACATCTTTATTAATCAAAATAGGAACCATTGCAATCAAAACATTTTTGTCAATAAGAAATAAGTTTGTTTATTCCTGTAGCATAAAAATCCATGCTTCGGATTCAAATGCTCTTGGAAAGCATTTTCTGCATCCTGAAAGTGTTTTCGTGGCAAAAAGTTGAGATGCTTGAAGAAGTGGTGGTTAGTTGGCGAGAGGTCAGGTGAACATGGCGGATGAGGCAAAACTTTGCAGCCCAAACATTCAACTTTTGAAGCACTGGTTGTGTGACCTGCAGTCAGGCATGGTCGTGGAGAAGAACTGGGCCCTGTTGACCAATGCCAGCTGCAGGTATTACAGTTCTCAGTGCATCTCATCGATTTGCTAAGCATACTTCTCAGATGTAATGGTTTCACTGGGATTCAGAAAGCTGTAGTGGATCAGACCAGCAGCAGACCACCCAACAGTGACCATGACCTTTTTTTTGGTGCAAGTTTGGCTTTGGGAAGTGCTTTGGAGCTTCTTCTTGGTCCAACCACTGGGCTGGTTATCGCCTGGTTGTCATAGAAAATCCACTTTTTGTTGCATGTGACAATCCGATCAAGAAGAGAAGATGATAATTCAAGATGATGATTTCTTTTATTTTTGGTCAGCTCATGAGGCACCCATTTATCGAGCTTTTTCACTTTTCCAATTTGCTTCAAATCCCCAACAATCCCAGAATGGTTAACCTTAAGGTCTTTGACAACTTCTCACGTAGTTGTAAAAGGATCAGCTTCAATGATTTCTCTCAACTGGTCGTTGTAAACTTCCAATGGCCGGCCACTGCGCTCCTCATCTTTCTTCAAGGCTCTCATCTTCTTTTCTTTTTCTTTTTTTTTTTTTTTTTTTGAGACAGAGTCTCGCTTTGTTGCCCAGGCTAGAGAGAGTGCCCTGGCGTCAGCCTAGCTCACAGCAACCTAAAACTCCTGGGCTCAAGCAATCCTTCTGCCTCAGCCTCCCGAGTAGCTGGGACTACAGGCATGCGCCACCATGCCCAGCTAATTTTTTCTATATATATTAGTTGTCCAATTAATTTCTTTCTATTTATAGTAGAGACAGGGTCTCGCTCTTGCTCAGGCTGGTTTCGAACTCCTGACCTCAAGCAATCCATCTACCTCAGCCTCCCAGAGTGATAGGATTACAGGCGTGAGCCACCGTGCTCAGCCTGCAAAACTTCTTGAACCACCACTGCACTATACACTCGTTAGCAATTCCTGGGCCAAATGTGTTGTTTTTTTGTTTTTTGTGAGACAGAGTCTTGCTTTGTTGCCCAGGCTAGAGTGAGTGCCGTGGCATCAGCCTACCTCACAGCAACCTCAATCTCCTGGGCTCAAGCAATCCTCCTGCCTCGGCCTCCCAAGCAGCTGGGGACTATAGGCATGTGCCACCATGCCCGGCTGATTTTTATATTATATATATTAGCTGGCCAATTAACTTCTTTCTATTTATAGTAGAGACGGGGTCTCACTCTTGCTCAGGCTGGTCTTGAACTCCGGACCTGGAGCAATCCGCCCGCCTCGGCTTCCCAGAGTGCTAGGATTATAGGCCTGAGCCACCGTACCCGGCCCAAATGCATTGTTTATGTTGCAAGTTGTCGCTGCTGCTTTACAATCCATTTTGAACTTGAATGAGAAAATTGCTCAAAGTTGCTTTTTGCCTAACATCATTTCCATAATCTAAAATAAATATAAAATAAACAGCAAGTAATAAGTCACTAGCAAAAAAATAAGGCGAGAAATATGCATTAAAATGGTGTATAACATAACCACATTTATTTAAGAATATATTCCAATACCAAACAGAAAATTTCAACAATGCTAAAACCACAATTATTCTTGCACCAACCTAGTATCATTACTTTGTCTCAGTTTTTCACACATTAAATGTTAATTAGTGGTTATCACTAATTAAATGTTAATTGGTTATGATAGATGGATCACTGACATTTTTAAAATTATATCAAAGATGCCTTTTGGTTAATATTTTTCTGTATTTTTTCTGCATTTTGTGATAACAGATATTCTTTTATTCAAAAAACTCCTAAAAGTACAATTCATGGCTATTACCTGTAATAGCTCATGAGCAATTCATGGCTCATACCTGTAAGAATAATACTTTTCCTTATAATTAGCATGATCCACAGCTAATTTAGCAATAATAATTGCTCTGCTTCTTTTTCAAACAGTCCTACTTTAACTCCCATTTGCTCCACAGACAACAGCCATTTCTGTTTGAAAGTGGTTGCACAGTCAGTGGAAAGAGGCTGGTGCATCTCGCTGTTTCAATCCCGGCTCCCCTTCCTTCAAACCCTGCGTGGAATTGATGCTGGGATGTTAGAGATCATACTAAGAAAGCAGAGGACTGAAATTAAGAGAACTACTGCTGCTTACCTTACTCGTACATCACTACTGAGAGCAGCAACTACTGAGTACATAGGAGGGAGATATGATTATTACTAGCCCTATCTTGCAGATGAAGCAGTGAGGGTTAGAGACTGCATAGCTTGTGCGAGCTCACAGGGCTGCAAAGGGAGCCCAGGTGGAAGCCCCCACATCTGCCCCAAGCCTGCCCTCTTCAGCCGCCAAAGGGTACGTCCTCTTGAAATGACTGTGAAAAAGCCTTTATTCTTGACTCAGCTTCACTGTGTGTGAAAACAGGAATGATTTTTAGAAAAGTAATGGGGCTTTAAATATCAAAGAATGAAGGTAGAATTAACAAAGGAAGAACTGGCAGAGCTGGCATAACGAAAAAGCACTGGGAAGCAAAATGTGGGTCTTGCTTCTGACTGTGATAAACTGTTCTGTGCACTCGGTAAGTCCTTTGCCCCTCCTGGCCTCAGTCTCCACACTGTAAAATGAATTGATCCTGAAGGTCCATTCCCAGTGTGAAACTATGTGATCTAACCCAGGGATTACCTTAAATAATAGATCAAGAATATCAGGAAACTAAACCTGCAAAAAAATCACAATATCTTTCTTCTCAAGCATTTTTTTTTACTTTTTTCTTTAATAAACTTTTCTCTCTAAAAAGAAATATACAGGGTGTCCCAAAAGTCACCATATATAGGGAAAATGCGAAATAGTACACCTGCACTAGAATGTTTATAGCAGCACAATTCACAACTGCAAAGAGGTAGAAACAACCTAAGTGCCCATGAATTCATGACTGGATTAACAAAATGTGGTATATGTATACTATGGAGTACTACTCAGCCATAAAAGGGATGAATTAATGCCTATTGCAATTTGGACAGAACTGGAGACCATTATCCTAAATGAAGTATCTAAAGAATGGAAAAACAAATACCACATGTACTCACTATTAAATAGGAACTAACCGATGAGCACATATGTGCATAGAGGGAAGTAAAACTCAACAGAAATCAACCTGGGGGAAAGGGGGAGAGGGGATGGGCAAAAACCTACATAACGAGTACAATGAACAATATCTGGGTGATGGGTACTTCTATAACCATGGCTCAAGCATTATAAAAGTGATTCATGTAACCAAAACACCAAACTATTTTGTAACCCATAATACTTTAAATTAAAACTGGGTTTTAATCTTAAAAATAATAAAAACAATGACTGCAATCTGAAAGACATGGACCTTATAAATAGATTCATGTTTCTAAAACTCTACACTAAGTAGGAGTCTTCTGGTAATACCATATTATTCCACAAATGAAATGTATTAGCATTGAAATAAAAAGGCAACACATATTCTTAAATATGAATTAAGTGCAGCCCCTTTGGAAACAGTTTGGCAGTTACTTAAAAAGTTAAACATACACTTACTAAACAATCCAGCAATTCCACTCCTAGTATCTACCCTAGAGAAATAAAAACATATGCCCACAGAAAAACTTGTTCATGAATGTTCACAGCAGCATTTATTCATAATAGCCAAAAAATGGAAAGAACCCAAATGTCTATCAAAAGGTAAATGGAGGCCGGGCGCGGTGGCTCACGCCTGTAATCCTAGCTCTTGGGAGGCCGAGGCGGACGGATTGCTCAAGGTCAGGAGTTCAAAACCAGCCTAAGCAAGAGCGAGACCCCGTCTCTACTATAAATAGAAAGAAATTAATTGGCCAACTGATATATATATAAAAAATTAGCCGGGCATGGTGGCTCATGCCTGTAGTCCCAGCTACCCGGGAGGCTGAGGCAGAAGGATCGCTCGAGCCTAGGAGTTTGAGGTTGCTGTGAGCTAGGTTGACGCCACGGCACTCACTCTAGCCTGGACAAAAAAGTGAGACTCTGTCTCAAAAAAAAAAAAAAAAAAGGTAAATGGAAAAGCAAAATGTGGTATATCCATACAATAGACGACTACTCAGTAATAAAGAGGAAATAACTACCGACATAGGTTACAACACGGATGAACCTCAAAAATGTGCTAAGTGAAGAAGCCAGATGCAAAAAGACAACATATTACATGATTCTATTTATAGGAAATATCTAGAAAGTAAAACTTTTAGAGACAGAAGATAGATTAGCAATTGCTTGGAGCTAAAAGTAGAAACAGGAATTGACTGTAAAATGGGCACAGGAATCTTTTTAGAGTGATAGAATTGTTCTAAAATTGAATTGTAAGTAACTGTACAAATTCAATAATTGTTGAAAATCACAGAATTGTACACTTAAATGAAATTTTATGATATATAAATTATATATCAATGAACTTATTAAAGAAAACTGAATTAAGAAAAGCCAAATGTCACAAATTAATACCTGAGGAATGTTGAGCTCCAGTAACTGGCTTTGAGTGATCTCACTAAGCTGCCGAAACGTCATTGTAAAATCAGCTTCTGTCTTTTCCATGAGCTAAAAAAAGTAATTATATTTATCAATCCCAATAACCAAAAATATGCTGTATAATAAATCAAATATTAATCAAAAAAAGGATAAAATGATAAACTCACATGCAAGAAAAATGCAATTAAATCATCATCACCTTCCCTTTCTCCAAGTAATCCCAACTTGGCTTTGAACAATTTTTGAAATCTAAAAGAAGTGTTGATTCAATTTGTTATTAAAATTCTCACTATTTTAAGAATTATCTTCAAACCAACTAGGATGCTTTAATGTCTGTATTCAAAAATGACAAACCTTGTGTAATAAAGTACAGGGTACCCCTCAAGAATCTGAGCAGCACTAGGAGAGAAGAGAGGAAGGACAGTTAAACTCCGAACGTTCTTGAATTATATTTTATAAGAACAAAGTGAAACATCTTATTATACAAAATAACAGAGATTACATGCTACTGATTCTGGTTTAGTAGTTTAATTATATACCCTATCGCAGAGAAAATTGTCAATATAAATTTATTGTCTCAAAGATTTGGATACAGTACAGATCAAATCATGTCACCCCTGCAAAGTCACCATAAACAATTAGCTTATAAGATAATGAATGTTGGTATGTCTCTGTGATACCAAGAGAGTTAAATAAATTAGGTTTTTGGTGTATTTTAAAAATCATCTTAGACTCAAAATAATGCATTATAAATATATACCTTATCCAATATAACATTTTATCTGTCTAAAAGTATGAAAAAATAATGAAATATTTCATAAAATATAAAAATTAGAGTTTTAACCTTAAACCCATCTTTAAACAAATTAAGTATCCATTTCTTAACGTTCTTAAATGCATTTTTGGTTATACAAGAGCTGAACACATTGTGAAGTCCACTTCCTTTAGGTAAAGGAAGTCTGCCCTCATGTTCTCCAATGTGCCCCTGGCTTATTCTGCTGCAGCCATCTGGCCTCCTTGCTGTCCCTAAATGCACCAGGCACACTCCCCCTCACGGCCTTTGCACAGGCTGCTCCTTAAAGTAGCATTCTTACCCAAGACAACTGTGTGGCTTCCTCCTGCAGCTCCTTCAAGACTTTGCTCATGTGAGATCTTTGCCAACCATCTTTTAAAATTCCAAACCCCTCCCTCCCTGGGCTCCCTACCTGCTTTATTTTCCTCTTTGGTACTTATTTCCTAATATACTAGGTAACTTGTTTTGTTTATGGACTGGGTCTCCCACCAGAAGTAAGCATAAGGGCACAATTTTTTTGCCTTGTTTTTTCATTGCTGTCCCCTTAGCACTCAGCAAAGTGGCACATACTGAGCACCTAAGTACTATCAATAAATATTTGTAGGCCGGGCGCTGTGGCTCACGCCTGTAATCCTAGCTCTTGGGAGGCCGAGGCGGGCGGATTGCTCAAGGTCAGGAGTTCAAAACCAGCCTGAGCGAGACCCCGTCTCTACTATAAATAGAAAGAAATTAATTGGCCAACTGATATATATATAAAAAATTAGCCGGGCATGGTGGCGCATGCCTGTAGTCCCAGCTACCCGGGAGGCTGAGGCAGAAGGATCACTCGAGCCCAGGAGTTTGAGGTTGCTGTGAGCTAGGCTGACGCCACGGCACTCACTCTAGCCTAGGCAAGAAAGCGAGACTCTGTCTCAAAAAAATAAATAAATAAATAAATAAATAAATATTTGTAGAATGAATGAACTCTGCAGGGCAAAATGGGTATAAACTTGATGGAGAGAAAGATGGGAGCAAGATTCCTTAATGAATATCATTTTATATCTCTCTGATTTTGAACTATAATGGTATTGCCAGTATATTTTTTAATTAAATTAAGGAAACTATAGATGGAATACAAACCTTTTATTTTTATTGAAGTAATATTTTTGCTACCTGGGATTAATAAAATCACTATATGCCTTGCCTTCCATCTGCGATCTTGTTGTACCAGAAACGGTAAATTTTAGATTGGGGGTAGGGGATAGGGGGATAGGGAGGGGGGGGAGAAATGTATTTTATCTTCACATTGGAGACATAGAAATGTTTAAAATGTGGTCCCTGCCCTCAAAGAGCTCAAAGTCTGGTGGCTCGATCAATAAATATTCAACATTTTATATAAGTATTAATGTATTCAGATTATCATTCATACTTATTCATTTACATAAATATATTTCAACTTGAGAAATTATAAAATTGCAAATTTGTCTATTTATTGTTTACTCTGTTGTTTAAAAAAAGGCAACCATGTTCCATTTACTCTTCAGCATAAATTCAGAATGAGGGGCCACACAGTAGAGAGATGGAGATTAAAACCTCAGCTTATTACTAATATAAACCAGCCTGGAGAATACGGCTCAGGTCTGCAGATTAACAGACATGGTAACAGATCATTGCACACAATGGAATCCATACTCTGACACCCTAGATATCAATCACCTGTCACAGTAAAATAAAAACACCTGTACTAATGGTGATGCAAGAATTTGGAGAACATATCACCTATATACCCCATTTGAGTGAATCACTTAAGAAAGTAATCAAGACAGAGACTTTAAGATGGAACCATGAAAAAAGAATGGTGAAATGACTCTAAGAGGGGGTGTGGGGGAGTGCTGAAGCCAAAGACGCTTAAAACAGAAGAGAGACACTACAAGGAAAAACCTCATCATCTGAAGTTCAAAATACTAAACTATCTTAGCAAAATCTAGCAGCTGGGTAGGTAGATATAAACCATAAAAACATTCTAAAGTCTCATCTTGTTGGATGAAGAGGACGCAATGGGCAAAGAGGAGCTTAGTGAGAAAAAATATATGCAAACTTGTTTTTTCATGTAACAGTAGAGAGAGTGGCAGAAAAAACAAGGTAACTATTAGCGGAATACAAAACCTTTTTTTCAGTAGAGTTTCCAAATCAAAGGGGATGGGGGGGATGAATGGATAGATAGCTCAAATCAGAAAGAGATAAGGAAAGTGGGGAAAAACCAATAGTCAAATAAAGATTAAGTACAATGTAAGATAGTAGGAATAAATAAAATATATCAATTGTTATAATATATGTGAGTTCTATTAGGACAGAAACCATCACATAAAATTACAACCTGGGTATATATTTTGTTTGTTTTTACAAGAAACACCCTTTAAAACAAATAAAGATGGGTACAAAAAGAAAAGTAGAAAATAAAGTGAGATTCAAAGTAACCCGACAAAAAGAAACCATGAATGGCAGTATTAATGTCAGATAAGTTGAAATTGAGTATTAAAAGTACAAATCAGAATAAAAAAAAAAAAAAAGTACAAATCAGAATAAAGGGGATCATTATTAGGATAAAAAGTATTTTTTTTAAAGAAAATATAAGTGAAAAACCTATAGGTATCAGTAACACATAGCAAAATATGTAAATTTCAATTAGAAAAAAAAACGTGATAAAATACAATTAAAACAAGAATTTTAATATACATCTCTTAAGAATCTAACTTATCTAACAGATAAAAAATAGTCATAAAGGACTTGAATAATATTAATACAGCAATACACTCAACTTGACCTCAATATTAAAACCTCTGACTACACAGTATATATTTTTATGTAAATCATCAAACATATCAAAAAATGTTCTGTGTTGGGTCACAAAGAAACATTAACACATTTTGAATAGTAGGGATTTTACAAAACACATTCTCTGATCCTAAAAATACAGACAAAATAATCCTTACTACTTAGAAATACAATTCTTACTACTTAAGAAATACAGTGATAAATAACCCTCGGATCAAATAGGAAATAAACAGATTTCATAATATCTAAAAAGGAATAAATAAGAAAAACTTTATCCTAAAAACCATGCAAAAAAGTACAAATTGTACTAGAAAAAATATATAGTTTTAAATGCCTTCATTAGTAAGGACTAAATGAGATGGTTTTTAAAGTGTTAGTTTCCTACTTTTCAAAAAATTTTTGTTATACAAAAATATTTTCATGTAGCTTTTTTTTTTTTTTTTGAGACAGAGTCTCGCTTTGTTGCCCAGGCTAGAGTGAGTGCTGAGGCGTCAGCCGAGCTCACAGCAACCTCAAACTCCTGGGCTCAAGCAATCCTACTGCCTCAGCCTCCCGAGTAGCTGGGACTACAGGCATGTGCCACCATGCCCGGCTAATTAATTTCTTTCTATTTATAGTAGAGACGGGGTCTCGCTCTTGCTCAGGCTGCTTTCGAACTCCTGACCTTGAGCAATCCACCTGCCTTGGCCTCCCAGAGAGCTAGGATTACAGGCGTGAGCCACCATGCCCAGCCTTTTCATGTAGCTTTTATTAGTAGATTTAGGATTTACTCACAGTTGCTTTTGCCTAGGATCCAGTAATGGGTTTAGAGCTTGTAACAACTTATTTAAATTAAACATTCCAATATTGGCCTGATTGCCTATTTTATATCTTCTTTCATCATCAGATGTGTTTGGTACATAATCTGTATTTAAAACAAAATTCTATAGCTTTACATAGGGATAATTATAAGAAATAGCTTCTTTCTTTGTTTTTAAGCTTATATTTAAACTTAATACATTTATATTTATTAAATAAAACTTTCTGACATTAAATATTTCATTCAAAAGTAATAAGAAACCTTAATATCAATATACACTAAAAACTTCTAAAATATAAAATTTGTCTAATAGAGAAATACATTTCTAACCCACAAGACTCTCTAGTTTATCACATATATATTTCAATCTCCAACTTAGGTAGCATGTCCTCCACAAAGCCTTCTCTGATCCCTGCAGGGGTAAGTACAGTATTACTGTCACCGCCATTATATATATTACTAGAGGGAGAAGTTATGTAGCTTTTCCAAAGGCCCAGAGCCATGAAGGATCGGGTGCTAGAATTCAAGCCCAAGTCTGTCTGACAACATATTCCCTGGTACACTTCATGCCAGCTTCTCTAGTATATAATTCCTTGAGGGCAGAGATTACGGAAGGATCCGTTGTTATATCACTTATGGTGCTCAGAAAATCTAGTAACCACATAAAAATCACCATTTTATGAATGAACTGAGTTCTTTCTACTACCCCATCACTATATGATCTTTAACAGCTTATTTAAATAAAATAAACCTGAAATGATTTTTTTTAGTGAAATAAGGGGCGCATGTGGGTATGTATGCACACAAATATAAATCATACATACCTGGATTATAGTTTTCCATAAAACCAAATGGACCGTAGTCAATTGTAATGGATAACAAACTGAAGTTATCAGTATTACAAACACCTAAAACAACAAAAGAATTCCAAAAACATGACACTAAAAAAATGTTTTTCTTTTAAGTCTATAAAATTATTCAGAAATACCCTTTGTTTTAGAGATGAAACAAAATTAGATTAAAATGGAAAGTTTAATTGGTGATTATCAAATAGTTTCATATATGTTAAAACTATATTTTAAAAATAAATTTAGCCTTGTGTTTTATGATCCCCCCACAAAGATTTCAAATACTATAGGAATAATACCCCTCTTTTATTTATCCTCAATTTCTAGCATTAATTAAAATATATTATTTGAAATGGAATTGAGATTAGTAAAGGAGTAAGATTAATTTTCAAAGGTTCTCAAAAAGAAGAAAAGATAAAAATATAGATATGTGCCCCCATGAAAGTCATTAGCTGCAGGACATGAGAAGTATGGGAAGCCCTGCCTTTTGTTGTTGTTTTTTTTCTGGAGACATCTATATATCATAGGAAAAAAGTCTAGAAAAATCGATATGAAATGGTTAATAGTGAATACACTGGAAAATGGAGTTTCCGCTCACTTATGTATATTTTAAGTTATTTACCATAAGCATGTAGTACTTTTATAATTAAAAGTTTTTAAATAGCTTTAAAGAGATCTAAACATAATAAATACTCATACACATAATCCTATGGTTAAAAAGTTTTATAGGTAACAGTCTCCTATTATGTGATTACTATTCCATTCCAAATCATTTTAAACATGAAAAAATTATTTCTCTGTTGCTAAGAACAATTTTGTATATAGTAGTCCCCTCTTATAGTAGGGGATTCAATCTAAGACCCCCAGTGGATGTCTGAAACCACAAACAGTCCCAAACCCTTATATACTATATGTTTTCCTATACACACGAATCTATGGTAAAGCTTAATTTATAAATTAAGAACAGTAGGAGATTAACAACAATAACTAATAATAAAATAGAACAATTATGAAAACATGCCAGCATCACTGCTCTTGTACTTCGGGGCCATTATTACATAAACTGAGCGTTACTTGAACACATACACTGTGACGCTACAACTGTCAATGTGATGACCCAGAGGGCAGCTGAGTGGCCGATGGGCAGGAAGCACATACAACATGGATACGCTGGACACAGGGACGACTCATGGCCAGGCTGGATGGAGCAAGCTTTCATCATGCTACTCAAAATGGTACACCATTCAAAACATAAATTGCTTCTTTCTGGAATTTTCCATTTAATATTTTTGGACCATAGGTTAAAGAGTAACTGAAACTGCAGGAAGCAAAACCACAGATGGGGGGAACTACTGCATTAAAAATGTTAAGAAGCTCATCAGTAGGAATACTTATAAATACATAAAAAAAGAAGTCTTCTACTTCAACAAACTATAATATCAATATACAACTTACCATGAGCAAAACCAACAGACATCCACAAGGCGATAAGTTGTGCAGTTTCAGATACCACAATAGAAAACAAATCCTAAAATAAAATTTAGAAATGTTTTTAAGGTTTTGATAATGCATACTCTTTTAGGATCCTCTGGTGGTCACAAGAACATGAGAAGAATTCAAAGGCGGGTCAAAAAATGATTAAAGGATTGGAAATTAGTACATGTAGGAAAAATGGAAAAAAGGAAAATTATTCATACAGAAATAATACATAAAAGGCTCAGCCATAGTAGTATAATCCAACTTCTCCCTATTGAAAGCAATAGAATTAAGCACAAAGGAGTTAAATTTCAGAAATATGTTATTAAACTTTGAAATGTATCACTGAGAAAAAAACAGAATTCCCTTCTCTGTGTCTAATTAAAAAATGAAAAAGTTACAGGCCGGGTGCGGTGGCTCACGCCTGTAATCCTAGCTCTCTGGGAGGCCGAGGCGGGCGGATTGCTCGAGGTCGGGAGTTCAAAACCAGCCTGAGCAAGAGCGAGACCCTGTCTCTACTATAAATAGAAAGAAACTAATTGGCCAACTAATATATATAGAAAAAATTAGCCGGGCATGGTGGCGCATGCCTGTAGTCCCAGCTACTTGGGAGGCTGAGACAGAAGGATCGCTTGAGCCCAGGAGTCTGAGGTTGCTGTGAGCTAGGCTGACGCCACGGCACTCACTCTAGCCTAGGCAACAAAGTGAGACTCTGTCTAAAAAAAAAAAAAAAAAAAGAAAAAGTTACAAAGATTTAAAAATTTCCAAAAGAATAGAAAATCACATTTTGCTATTATATATTGTGCTTATTTTAGAACTACCACTATAGAAATATCTTCATATCATATATGTGAGTAAAGAATATATGTGACCAAGTTACAAATGCTGCTCAAAAAAATAACGTACATAGTCAGGAAATAGGAGCACCTGTTCTTTCTTGTAGGCATCTTTCAAAAAAAATAACTGTCTTGTCTATGTGTTGTTTATGAAGTGGGTCATCTCATCTTCTTCTAACAAAACGTCCAAAGTGCTCTATACTTCCTTTCCTAACTTGAGTGTTTTATGTTCTAAGTTGTAATCTCTAGTATTGACAGGACAACGAGAGAACACAGAGAATTGCCTTTTCTTTTTAAAAACTTACCACATATCTATTAGGTTCTTTGACATCTATTGAGGGAAAATGCTCCTGTATGACAAAGTCTAACAATGTCCTGAAGATAAAAAGGAGAGAGCTTCAGTGTTCCTCAGAATATAGTATCCAAGCACCTAAATCTACCCTCAACAATTATGAATTCATTAAATCAAGCTCAAAATTTTAAAACTTTAAGAATAAGATTTTACTCCCAAAACAGCCAAAGAAAAATATTTCCTCAATATCAATCAAAAACAAAAATATGTTTCTAAGATCATATTGGATTTTACCCTATTATTTTACAAATTCAGATGAGTTCAATAAACATCCATTAAGTACCTACTATACCTATTACACTTGCCAAGCCCTGGGCAAGTGCTAGGACAAAGAATGATCAGACTCAGACCTCAAAGAGCACACAGCGTATTACAGGAGAAGAACATATGAAGAATCATGGCATTACAGTATAATAAATGCAGTAACAGAAATATATAAAAAGTATAGCAATAGAGGGGGGGAAATGGGCATTTATTGAAACCTTAAAATCTGTACCCCCATAATATGCCGAAATAAAAAAAAAAAAAAGTATAGCAATAGAGCAGGGAATGATCATTTGTGGAGGTTTACTAAAGGCTTTGCAAATGAGGTGACCAAAATTGGTAAATGTCCAAAGTTAAAATACTTTAAATAAATATCTATCATACTCTTTCTTCCCTATTTTAACCAACTATTCTAATTAATTGACTAACCACTAGCATTGACTGCATTAGATAAAAGGGAATCTGGAAAAAAATATGGGTTTAGATACAATTTGGAAATTACTAAGACCCAGTCAAAACAATATGTTAGAGTTTGACTAACATCTGTCTATGTCTCACATACATATACTGTATATGAGAGTAACGTCACATTAGCCAGTGGAGGCACTGCAAGGATGAAGTGGTGGACAACAAGCAACAAATCCCAGAGAAATAAGTGAACTATAACTGAAACATGACCGCTAGATGGAACAATTTCAGTGCCAGGGTGAATCCAAGCAGAAGTGACCCCAGAAGCAAATGAGTAGTTAGAAATAACACCCAGTGAGGGTAGACAACTCTCTCTACCACCCAGGCTGACCATGAGCTCAGTGAACATTTGCTGAAGTAAGAAACTCAGAGAACATTTGTGGCAAGTGTGATGACTGTTCTGCTTTGCTTATTCATTTCCTTCATATTTCCTCCATTCGTCATGGACCAAATCTGGATTTACTAGGCTGATAACTACTATGTAGGATCCATATTCCAAATGATTCTAGTTTATCTAAGAGAATTTTTCTTATATATTTCCAATGACTTCAAAAACTATATTATCTTAGCAAATGAAAACAGACTTCCTCTTAAAGGAGGAAATGCTTTTGTTTGAAGAAACATCTTGCTAAGTCTGCCTGAGAAAGATGAAATTTTGTGAGAACAGATGTTAGCAGGCACCAAGACCTCAGAGAAAGATGGAAACCACACTGCATGACCCAAGGGCAAGAATTTATTGCTTTTGCTCTTTTTGTTTTTGTTTCTTTTTAAGAGACAAGGGGTCATGCTCTATTGCCCAGGCCAGAGTGCAGTGGTGTGATCATAACTCACTGCAGCCTCCACTCCTCAGCTCAAATGACCTACTGCCTCAGCCTTCTGAATAGCTGGGACTACAGGTAGATGTCAGCACACTCGGCTTTTTTTTGTTTTGTTTTGTTTTGTTTTGTTTTTTCATAGAGACAGGTCTTGCCGCATTGCCCAGGCTGGTCTCAAACTCCCAGATACAAGCTGGTCTCTAACTCCTGGCTTTGGCCTCCCAAAGTGCTGAGAGTACAGGTTTTTGCTCTTTTGAAGTAACGTTTCCTATGTGTTCCTCACAGAAATACTCAGTAAGGTGCGCTCTGTTCTTAAACGCTTTGTTTAAATTGGCTCTGTTGTTTGTTTGTTTTCATCCTGTAATGGGCTGAGTTTCACATCTGGGTCAGCCAAATGTGAAAAAGGCACCAACACACGTCAAAGTAGACATGTGTCCGGGTGAGACATGAGACAGGGGACGCCCCTGGGGAATCCCAGGAGTTGGGAGGAGAGCACTGGAGGTCTTGAGGCTGCAGAACTGGGGAGTGGGAGTCACTCTGAGTCTCTGAATGGCACGGAGGCCCTCAGCTGTCACTGAGGTGCATCCTGCATAACAAATGCCTTGAGAAAAGGGACTACTGGGTCTTATACTTCTTTTTTTAACCTCCTAGAAAACTCACAGTGTTAGGTACATAGCAAGTATTAAAAATATTAATTGAAATTCTTTGTTTCACTTACAAGAAAACAGAAAGTATAGCTGTCCCCTGGTATACGCAGGGGATTGGTTACAAGACCAACCCCAACACCAAAATTCTCACATACTCAAGTCCAGCAGACAGCCTGTGGAATGCAAGGAAACAAATTCTGCCTTCCGAATATGCTGGTTTCACATCCCACCAATCTCAAATTTTCAAGCCATAATTTGGTAAAAAAAAAAAAAAATCCTTGTATAAGTGGACATGCACAGCTCAAATCCATGCTGTTCAAGGGTCAACTGTATTTAACTCCACAGTACATAAATAAGCATTTTTTTCCAACTATCTTGTATCTTTTTTTAATGTAATTTTCTTTGTTGTTTATTTTTTTCTCCTATATATAATTTGTTGAGATAAAATGTAATCTCCTTATTTAGCCTTAAAAAAGAAGGAAATCCTGCCATTTACAACAACATGGATGAACCTTGAGGACTTTATGCCTAATTATAAACTGGAAACAGAAAGACAAAAACTGGATGATGTCACTTGTATGTGGAATCTAAAAATGGTGAACTCATAGAAATAGAGAGTAGAACGGCGGTTACCAGGGGTTAGGGGTGTGGGAGAAATGGGGAGATATTGGTCAAAGGGCACAGAGTTTGAGTTACAAGATGAATAAGTTCTGAAGACCTAATGTACAGACTGTAATTAATAATAATGTATTGCACACTTGAAATTTGCTAAGAGAGTAGATCTTAAGTATTCTCACACACACACACACACCCATAAAAGTAACTATGTGAGGTGATGGATATGCTAATTAGCTTGATGGTGGCAATCATTTCACAATGTATATATATATCAAAACATCACGGCCAGGCATGGTGGCTCACACCTACCACCATGGCGTGAACCACCATGCACTAGCACTCTGTGAGTCCAAGGTGGGAGGATCACTTGAGACTAGGAGTTTCAGACCAGCCTGAGCAAGAGCGAGACCCTGTCTCTACAAAAAATTTTTAAAAATTAGCTGGGGGTGGTGGTGGCGGGGGGTGGTAGTCCCAGCTACTCAGGAGGCTGAGGCGGGAAGATCGCTTGAGCCCAGGAGTTGGAGGTTGCAGTGAGCTATGATGAAGTCAGTGTACTCCAGTCCGGGCTATAGAGCAAGATCCTGTCTCAAAAAAAAAACAAAAAAAAAAACCACACTATATACTTTAAATATATACAAATTTTTATATGTCAATTATGTATCAATAAAGCTGGGAGGAAAATACTTACTTTCATAGCTTAAAAAAAAATGTCATGTTCTTACCTCAGTAATTCCAGTTCACCATAATGAGCCAAAATTTCTAACGATCCAATTCTAAACCATGATTTTGCAGCACGCAGTACTATCGCACCTTAAAAAGAAACATTTACCTTAGCACAAGCTATGTGAATATATCAAAATATGTCTTTCTTAAAATAGAAATTATTTTAATAAAAAAGAATATAGTCACTGAATTTATCAGAAAAGCAACTAATTTACCCTCCATAGAAGATTAAGGGTATTTCTGTATCCCTATAAGCCTTAATCAGAACGTTAGGAAGCACGTTTTGAGACAGCAAGGCTCCAACCTAGCTAAGGCTGAGAGGTGGTTATCAGGCTCCAAACTTCAGATTCTCCACTGTCTCATCAATTGTGACCTTTTCCCTGTTAACTGTATCCTGAAAAGAAGAATTAATGAATTCTTTATTTTGCACAGGCCCTTATAGTAATTACAATTAGAAATAGAATTCATGATTCTTTCCTTCAAGGAATGCTGTACCTACATGTGTTTAGATGTCAAAATGAGGTCTATACCAAGATGACAAAATCCCTGCACTGTGAGTACTGTCCTTCAAGGGACCACCATACTCACTGCTACCTCCAGGCCTTTGTTGGTGCTATTCTCCCCTCATCCATATACCCAACTCCTTCTTGTCCTTTACTGAACTCCTACCTAACCGTATACTCAAGATCAATCCCCACTTCCTCCATAAGGCTACACTGATCCATCCCATCCCCCTTTTACTGACCTCTGATGTCTTACTGTTCATTTGTTCCAGGTGTTTAAGTCTTTTCTCCACAAAGACCGTGAATTTCTTAGGATCAGGGATCATGACATACCTCTTACTCCTGGGCCCCCTTAGCCCAATAGCAGGCACAGAAAAGGGCCAACTAGTATTTTCAGGGATGACTGAATTATCCATGTAGGCAGGACTTATTCACAATACTAATCTGAATATTTATTTTCATGTGTTGTTTTTTTGAGCAATAAAATATATATAGATAAGTCACAGCCACAAAAGTTAGTAATGTTGTACCAGTCATCTCATATCTAATCACCATAAGCAAGAAGACTTAAATAGTTATTATATCACAGGCCTGGGTATAATACTATCATTTTATCCAGATGAAATTAAAGGGGAAAAGAGAGAGATGCCATAAAGAGAATTCTTAACTCCTTTAAGCATGAATACTTTTGGGGGGTAGTTTTTTTATGAAAATCATATAAAAACATATTGCTATGGTCTGAATGTTTGCATCCCCCCAAAATGCATATGTTGAAAGCTAATTACCAAGGTAATGGTAATAGAAGGTGGAGTGTCTGGGAGCTAATTACCCTGTGAAGGGGATCAGTGTCATTATACAAGAGGCCCCAGAGAGCTGTCTTGACGCACTGAGAAGGCACCGTCTAGGAAGCAGGATCCCTCGCCAGACACTGAATCTGCTGGCACTTTGATCTTGGACTTACCAGCCTCCAAAACTGTAAGCAACAGACTTCTGTTGTTTATAAATTACCAAGTCTAAGGTATTTTGTTATAGCAGCCCAAACGGACTAACTAAGACACATATTATGCACTAAGTATAAAGAACATAAAATGTGCTCTGGGGAATCACTGTGAATGTCACCAAGAACACTGGCCTGTGACACAGTGATGTCCACAGGACTCACTACAGCACTAAGGGCCATCAAAAGTTCTCGACAGCTCTGCTTTTTAAGCTCTTAAATATGTTTACAATTGATTTTCAGGTCTCTTCCTCTTCTCAGAGATTCACAGTCAAGTCTCTCTCATTCTCTTTTTGCTACTCTAAATGTGCCTTTCTCATCCCCTTTCTAATTTTTTATTTCTACGCTACTAAAGGCTAAGGAAAAAGTTAACTGAGCTTATTGGAAGTAAACATGAAGACTTGTGGAAAGTCTGCGGGGCTTTCCTGGGAGGAAAGCATATGAACTTTCCTGTACTGGCTTTGCAACATTTTACCAGCTATTCATAAATATTTTTTGTTCACTTCCCAGATGTTTGCTGTTTGAAATGGATGGATTAGTGACATAGGGATGTGGCAAAGGATTTTCTACTGTAATATGCCTAGTTACATCTTGAAGAACCATGGGTTATATTTTTTAAGAAGACTGCACAAATGTCCAATATCTGTGTTTCTTTAAGAACTCAGTCCAATTTTATGCACATTTGTTAAAAATTGTTGTTACCTCGTTCTTTCGTAATATTTCCATTGTAAAACTGATCTCGCCACACTTCGTCATCGCTTACGACCAGACTGAAATATAAGAGAATCAAAGTTACATTTTTTTTTTTTTTGAGACAGAGTCTCACTTTGTTGCCCAAGCTAGAATGAGGGCTGTGGCGTCAGCCTAGCTCACAACAACCTCAAACTCCTGGGCTCAAGCAATCCTCCCGCCTCAGCCTCCCGAGTAGCTGGAACTACAGGCATGCGCCACCATGCCTGGCTAATTTTTTCTATTAGTTGGCCAATTAATTTCTTTCAATTTATAGTAGAGACAGGGTCTCGCTTTTGCTCAGGCTGGTTTCAAACTCCTGACGTCAAGCAATCCGCCCGCCTGGGTCTCCCAGAGTGCTAGGATTACAGGCGTGAGCCACTGCATCCGGCCCAAAGTTACATTTTAAATGCTATCAAGAAGTACGTAAAACAGTAAGGAACTGTAAGAAATCTTGCCATGAGAGATTTATCTGCTCAATTCACTGTCATGTTTCTGGAGATAGCATGACACAGTCCTGCAAGTCAACTCTCCATGAAAAAGGAATTACCTTGCAGCTCGGCTAGTTGGAATTCCAAGATAGTGCATAGCCTCACTACACAAAAATTCTCTCACCGAGGAACGAAGTACAGCTCTACCATCACCATTTCTAGAGGAAATAAAATGTAAAAGATTTTCATTTGTAATGAAAACAACATCAGCTTTTCTTTAGATGACTAAAATTACCAAACCGTACCGGGAGTATGGGGTCTTTCCTGATCCTTTTAATTGGAGCTCCCATTTTTCACCCTGTCTTCAAAAAAAGTCACGTATTAGAAGAGTCATGTTAATATTAAGCAAAAAAGCTATTATGCAGGAAAATATGTGGTACCTGTTCATGTAAATTCCAATAAGGTGGGCTCTTCCATCCCCAAGCTGATCTGCCCATATCCCAAACTAAAGAGGAAAAAGGAAAATTATTATTTATTAATCTTTTTTTTTTTATTTTCTTTTTTTCTTTTTTTTTTGAGTCAACGTTAGTGAGAATATTTATTAATCTTTATATAGCGTTTTATTTTTTTGGACACAGAGTCTCGCTCTGTGTCCTGGCTAAAGTGCATCATAGCTCACTACAGCCTCCAACTCCGGGGCTCAAGCAATTCTCCTGCCTCAGCCTCCCTAGTAACTGGGACTATAGGTGAGTGAGTGCCAACACACCCAGCTAATTTTTCTATTTTTTTGTAGAGACGGGGTCTTGCTCTTGTTCAGGCTGGTCTCAAACTCTTAAGTTCAAGCGATCCTCTCACCTCAGCCTCCCAGAGTGTTAGGACTACAGGCATGAGCCATGGCACCACCTATATAGCTTGTGTAAGAATTTTTATAGCCAAAGTCATTTTGCCAAATTGGAATGAGGCATTGCATTTTAGGATAACAGTCAAGAATTGGAATAAAGGTGAAAATAAAATTCAATCACATAAGGAAACTCACTTAATAAAATATACTTTTTTTTGTAGAGACAGGGTTTCACTATGTTGCCCAGGTTGGTCTCAAATTCCTGGCCTCAAAGGGATCTTCCAACTTGGCCTCCTAAAGTATTGGGAGATACAGGCATGGACCACTGCACCCAGCTGCAATAAATATAAATTTAAAACATAATTCATTCTTTATCATCTTATTAGCTAAATTCAAATTTATTAGGTGTACAACACCTAGACTGATCTATTTAAAGAATATGAATTAGGAACAATTTATGAGTAGAAATTTGCTTATTATATGTTGCATATAAAATCATGAGGTACCCTTGTACCTCAAAACACTCCTTTTCACTTGCACAATTAAACTGTTTGCACAACTTTTCTGTTGAGATCTCTTTACACTCTTCAACTCCCAGCTATGCTACTGCTAGCTGTGGAAATCTGTTTGAGTTACTTAATCTGACCAAGACTGACCTTTCATTCCATAAAATGGGATAAGCCTTCCAGGTTGTAAAATGACGGTATGTATGCAAATGCCTTGGTACTATGTCTGACATAGCAATGCCAAAGAGGGGTAATTATTATTTGCATTACTGCATTGCCAACAATCATTTGCTAACTTAGATATCACTCCATTCTCAACTGATGTACTTCCACTGAAAAGTCTTCTCTGACTTTCTTGGGACTAGGAGGGTGGTCCTGTAAGTTTCTATTAACTCCTACACTGTATCTTATCACAACCTTGATGTTATAGGATTCTCTATTCGTCTTCACTCCTTGAGTAGCAGCAATTGAGAGAAAGAGCAAGAGCTGTAAGCCAGCAGAATTTTGTTAAGCAATTCTTTTTGTAGGTTTTTGTTTGTTTGTTTTGGTTAGTATGTAAATTAGAATAAAGCTTATCAATTTCACATTCATCTCTTGCTTCTCCCTGATCTGAAGCATTATGAATTTGTAAGCTATTGTATTATGGGATACTATTATTCTATGAGGTGACTTTCCATTTTGAGTGAAGCCATCTTCCCATATGGGAGATGGCTTTTTAAACCATGGAACCCTTGCATATGAGCACTAGAAAAGATCAAAAGGAGCATTTAGTCTGAAGTTTCTAAACTAAGAAACACAGTTCAGCCAAATATTATTAGTTATTCCTTATAAACAACACAACCCTGCAATCAAATATGTTTGGAAAATGGTGTGTTAAATAAAATTAAGCAGATTTCTTTGCTGTAGCACTTCTCACAATGGGTATGATCTGAATCAACCCCTTCACATTACAGATTAAGAAAACTGAGGTTCCAATTTATCATAGATAGACTCTTAAAGTCCTTCTAATGGTTTATACTACTTTGCTTCTTAGCCTACAGGACTCTGAAGAAGAAAGGAAATACCAGGCCAGGTGCAATGGCTCACACCTATAGTCCCAGCTACTTGGGAGGCTGAGGAAGGAGGATTGCTTGAGCCCAGGAGTTAGAGGCTACAGTGAGCTATGATGATGCCACTGCACTACAGCCTGGGCAGCAGAGAAAGACCTTGTCTCAAAAAAAAAGAAAAGAAAAAGACATACAAAATACCTAACCTGACAAACTACAACCTGATGTTATAATAATTATAATAATGGCTAATATGCTAAGCACTCTTCCTATATTTCTTAATTTAATCCTTACATCAACTCTGTTATACTATACTACTTGTCCTAAAAATTAATCCTGAGTAAACCAGCATTACCAAAACAACCCCCCCAAAAAACAGAGTGTTAAATTAATCTTATCTAGTTTACAGGAAAGTCACAGAAATTTCAACAATTGATCCTATGTTCCCATTTCCTCTTTTTTTAAAGTTAGATACCATGCAAGTTCAGGAACTTGTTTCAACATCTTATCTCTAGAATGTCCCTTAATTGCTTCATGTTTGCTATAGCATATAAAGCATCCCTATAAATTCTGATTTACTACCTTTCTATAACTTCGTTCTGTGCCTATCCTGGGCAAATTATAATCTATTTGTCCTTCTGAGACTTTTATATTGACACATTATTCTACTTGATTTTGCCTAGAATTCTTGCCAAAACGGCACTGAATGAGTTCCCTAGCCATAATTCACAGAAATTTTATATTTGTGCTACCCTAATCTTCTCAATTCCATTAAAAGAACATAAGCAAGAAATAATATCAGCTAATCTATAGACATCATATGACACATTCTTCTAGGAACATCTTACTGAAGCTTCGATATGCTAATATTAGAGAAATTAATGCAAAATAATTTCTTTAATAGGATAGCATTTCCACCAAATGATCATATTTGCATACAGGAAGTGATGCTGTTGCTACTCTTACCTGGTAGCCCCCGTATCGGTGGGCCAGTGGAATGGATCCAAACACTATCTTCTTGCCACTTACAAGCTGGATAAAATCATCTGTTTTTGAGACAGATAAATCAAGGTCCAAAATATCTTCTAGAACTTCCTGACGCAGGAAAAAAAAAAATTAAAAAACTAAACAAACCTTTAAAAAATTTTAAAAAAAAAAAACTAAAAAAAAAAAAAAAGTTAAAAACCCCTTTAAAACCCCCCCCAAAAAAAAATAATAAAAACTTTTCAAAAAAAAAAAAACAAAACTTCCAAGAATAATTAAGCCAATTGGAAAAAAACAATTCTATTAGATGGCTCTAAAATTTTTATGGATTTCTTACGGTGTATGGTAAAATAATATTTTCCTAACACAGGTTCTTTTAAAGAACTAGAAAAAAATAAACATCCTGTCTTTATCCCAAACTCATTCATATCATGAAAGAACAAGTTAAAGTCCACTATTAGAAACCATTTCTAAATGTTATCTACACTAAGAATTTAACTTATTTCCCCCTTTTTCACAAAAGTGTATTTTCCTTGTAAAATATCTTTAAGATGCAACTGAATACTATACTCCAAGAATAAGTATCAAAAACTGATTTCTAAGAATGAAATTCTCCAAGTATCTGAATTTCAAGCACAAATATAGTCATTTATAAATAGAATAATATTAGCTAGGAATAAAATATTGCATCTTTTTAGACAAATGTTTTAGTTATTTGTGTTGTGAAAAAATAAAGCCTAACCTTTGAAACTGCTACAAGACGTACTCTTGATTTGAAAGGAGTTGGGAAGGCAATTGAAAAAATACAGTTTTTCACTTTACGAACATAATTTTCTTTAACAGGATCAACTGGCAACAAAGCTGATAAGAAAAGAAATCCTTCTTAATGTTCTCATTTGTTGCATATACTACATAAATATTCTTTAGAAAGACTATAGTTCTTGAAGAAAATCAACTTAAGTCACTATTTTCTTCATATTTTGTTATTTAAAATATACCATTTTCAACATTATCCAACACTCATATAGTATATGGAACTGTCCAAGAAGAGGATGGGAAATGGAAAAAGTTTAAAACAAGACACATACCCTAACTTCAAAGATTTTCACTCATCCGAGACAAATTGGAAATGCAACATATTTATATATAGGAACATATAAATAAAATGGAGGTGAGTTACATTACAAGATTAGAATTACAGTAGTCAATTCAATGGAACCAACAAATATTAGGCATGTAATTAATTACTTGCATTCTGCCCCTCAGAAATTCACAATTAACTGAAGGAAACAGACATACAATATAAATAAATAACTCTAAGACCAGGCAACACATGGTTTACTAGATGTACAAAACTGCTCTGTATCCCACAAGAGTTGATACATGCCTGCTCACAAGGCTAGAAGTTTAAAAATTTCCTCTGAAGAGACAAACTATGTTTCATAAAGTCCACACACTAAAGCACATATACTGTATTTTAAAAGCTGTAGAGCTAAAAAGGGCTTGGAACATGCTTTAGATACTCAGAACATATTTATTAATACTTGCTTTACATACAATAAACTCTTAATCTGTTTTAATGCAAAGCAATTAAAAGAAAAAGCAAATGGAATAGGTGCATTAATAAAACCACAAGACTGAGGGACACAAAAACCTACGTTTCTGATAGAGATTATATGTCAAAATGTGTCACCAAATTATTTAATAAAGATTATGGGAATCCAATCAAAATCCTGGTAGAATTTTTTTTGAAGAAACAGACAATCTTAATGTAGAAATCTGAAAAAATAAACAGATTAAATTTTTAAAGAGAAATGAGAGTTTGCTTATCATATTAAAGTTATAAGAATGCAATAACTTAAAAATGTTGTTATCCCAAAGATGTGAAGATCACTGGAACTCAATAAAAAGCACAGAAACAACCCCGAGTCATATAAGAATTTCCTATATAACAAAAATAATATTTCGGATCAGTGGTGAAAGGTGGCATAAGGACAATTTGCTCAACTATTTGGAAAAACTCCAATTTATTCTATCTATGCCTAAGTGAACTAAATATCAGCTATAACAGCAATAATAGTAATCTTACATCTTCCTCAAATGAGCAACCAAAATAGGCAAATATGAGCCACATTTAGCCCTTTGTACTTTCTCTTGAGTCCATGGTGAATAAGGCAGCAGCATCTTAGGGAAATAAATGACTGGTCAACCAAAAAACAAATGGGCTGGGCACTGGGACCGTTGGAGTCATCTTGGTCTCTGAATGCACGGAGGCCCTCACTGTCCACTGAGGCATCCTGCATACAAATGCCTTGGAGAAAAGGACTACTGGTCTTATACTCTTTTTTAACCTCCTAGAAAACTCCAGTGTGAGTACATAGCAATATTAATATAATTAATATCTTGTTTCCTTCAAAAGAAAACAAAGTATAGCGCTGTCCCCTGGTATACGCAGGGATTGGTTACCAAGACCACCCACACAACCAAATCTCACATACTCAAGTCAGCAGACAGCCTGTGGAATGCAAGGAAGACAAATTCTGCCTTCCGAATATGCTGTTTCACATCCACCAATCCAATTTTCAAGCATAAGTTGGTAAAAACAAAAAAAATCTTGACTAAGTGGACATGCACGAGCTCAATCCATGCTGTTCAAGGGTCAACTGTATTTAACTCCACAGTAACCATAAATAACATTTTTTCACAACTTATCTTGTATCTTTTTTTAATGTATTCTCTTGTGTTATTTTCTCCTATATATAATTGTTGAGATAAATTATATTCTTATTTAGCCTTAAAAAAGAGAAATCCTGCCATTTACAACAACTATGGATGAACCTGAGACTTTATCCCTAATATAAACTGGAAACAGAAAAGACAAAACTGGATGATCATTGTATGTAATCTAAAGAATGGTAACTCATAGAATAGAGAGTAGAACGCGTACCAGGGTTGGGGTGGGAAATGGGCGGAGAAATATTGTCCAACAGCACAGAGTTGATTACAAATGAATAATTTGAAGGACTAAGTACAAGACTGTAATTAAATAATAATGTATTTGACACACATTGATTTGCTAAGAGAGTAGATTTAATTTCTAACCAAAACACCACACAACTGCCATAAAGTAACTATGCTGAGTGATGGATATGCTAATTAGCTTGTGTGCATATTTCACAATGTATATTATATTCAAAACTCACAGGCCAGGCCATGGTGGCTTCACACCTACCACTCATGCGTGAAACCACCATGCATAGCTCACCTCTGTGAGTCCAAGGGTGGGAGGATCCTTGGACTTAGAGTTTTCAGACCAGCCTAGCAAGAGCGGAGCCCTGTTCTACAAAAAATTAAATAAAATCGGGTGGTTGCGGTAGGGTATCCCAGCACTCACGAGCTGAGCGAAGATCGCTTGACCCAGGATTGGAGGTCAGTGAGCTATGATGAAGTCAGTGTACTCCGATCCCGGGCTGAGTAGGGAGCAAGATCCTGTCTCAAACAAAAAACCCAAAAAAAAACACTTAATCTTAAATTTACAGATATTTTATATGTCAATATGGTATCATTAAAAGCTGGAGGAAATACTATCTTCATAGCTTAAAAAAAATCTGTTCTACCTCAGTAATTCCATTCACCATAAGAGCAAAATTTTAACGATACCAATTCTAAACCATGATTTTGCAGCACGCAGTACTATCGCACCTTAAAAAAGACATTTACCTTAGCACAGCTATGTGAATATATCAAAATAGTCTTTCTTAAAAGAATTTTTAATAAAAGAAATATAGTCACTGATTTATCGAAAAGCAACTATTTACCCTCCATAGAGATTAAGGTATTTCTGTCACCTATAACCTTAATCGACGTTAGGAAGCACGTTTTGAGACAGCAAGGCTCCACCTAGCTAAGCTGAGAGGGTTATCAGGCCTCCAAACTTCAGTTCTCCACTGTCGTCATCAATTGCTGATTTCCCTGTAACTGTATCTGAAAAGAATTAATGAATTTTTATTTTGACAGGCCCTTATAGTATTACATTAGAAATAGAATTCATGATTCTTTCCTTCAAGGAATGCTGTACCTACATGTGTTTAGATGTCAAAATGAAGGTCTATACAAGATGACAAAAATCCTGCACTGTGAGTACTGTCCTTTACAGCACCATATCGCTACCTCCAGGCCTTTGTTGGTGCTATTCTCCCCTCATCCTAAACCCAACTCCTTCTTGTCTTTACTGAACTCCTACCTAACCGTATGCTCAAGATCAACCCACTTCCTCCATAAGGCTACACTGATCCTATCCTCCCCCTTTTACTGACCTTGATCTTATCGTTCATGTAGTGTTTAGTCTTTCTCACAAAGACCGTGAATTTCTTGGATCAGGGATCATGACTACTTCTCCTGGGCCTCCCTAGCCAACAGCAGCACAGAAAAGGGCCAACTGTATTTTCAGGGTATGACTGATTATTATAATGTGTATTCATATAATCTGAATATTTTTTCATGTTGTTTTGAGCATATTAATATATTGTATGCCAAAGTTTGACTCACTATCTCATCACCATAAGCAGAGTACTTATAGTATTACAACAGCCTGGGTATAATAGTATCATTTTATCCAGATGAAATTAAAGGGAAAAAGAGAGAGTGCATAAAGAGGAATTCTTAACTCCTTAAGCATGAATATTTGGGGTAGATTTTTATGAAATCATATAAAACATATTGCTATGGTCTGAATGTTTGCATCCCCCAAAATGCATATGTTGAAAGCTAATTACCAAGGTAATGGTAATAGAAAGGTGGAGTGTCTGGAGCTAATTACCTGTGAATGGATCAGTGTCATTATACAAGAGGCCCCAGAAGCTGTCTTGACGCAGTGAGAAGGCACGTCTAGGACAGGATCCTCGCCAGACACTGAAATCTGCTGGCACTTTGACTCTTGATTACCAGCCTCCAAAACTGTAAGCAACAGATTTCTGTTGTTTTAAATTACCAAGTCTAAGTATTTTTTATAGCAGCCAAACGGACTACTAAGATAATTTATGCGCTAAGTATAAAGAACATAAATATGCTCTGGGGAACACTGGTGAATGTCACAAGAACACTGGCCTGTGACACAGTGATGTCCAAGGACTCACTACAGCACTAAGGGATCAAGTTCTTGACAGCTCTGCTTTTAAGCTCTTAATATGTTTACAATTGATTTTCAGGTCTCTTCCTCTTCTCAGAGATTCACAGTCAGTCTCTCTCATTCTCTTTGCTACTCTAAATGTGCCTTTCTCATCCCTTTCTAATTTTTATTTCTACGCTACAAAAGGCTAAGGAAAAAGTTAACTGAGCTATTGGAAGTACACATGAAGACTTGTGAAAAGGTTGCGGGGCTTTCCTGGAGGAAAGCATATGACTTTCCTGTACTGGCTTTGCAACATTTACCAGCTATTCATAATATTTTTTGTTCACTTTCAGATGTTTGCTGTTTGAAATGGATGGATAGTGATAGGGATGTGGCAAGGATTTTCTACTGTAATATGCCTAGTAATCTTGAAGAACATGGGTTTATATTTTTAAGAAGACTGCACAAATGGTCCAATATCTGTTGTTTCTTTAAGAACTCAGTCCAATTTATGCATTTTTAAATTGTTGTTACTCGTTCTTTCGTAATATTTCCATTGTAAACTGATCTCGCACACTTCATCTCACTTACGACCAGACTGAAATATAAGATGAATCAAAGTTACATTTTTTTTTTTTTTTGAGACAGAGTCTCACTTTGTTGCCAGCTAGAATGAGGGCTGTGGCGTCAGCCTAGCTCACAACAACCTCAAACTCCTGGCTCAAGCAATCCTCCCGCCTCAGCCTCCGAG